TTGNATTTTGTTATTTATTAGATATACAATGACGGCTATATTAATATGTTAATTTTGTTATTTATTAGATATACAATGACTGCTATATTAATATGTTAATTTTGTATTTTGTTATTTATTAGATATACAATGACTGCTATATTAATGTGTTAATTTTGTATTTTGTTATTTATTAGATATACAATGACGGCTATATTAATATGTTAATTTTGTATTTTGTTATTTATTAGATATACAATGACTGCTATATTAATATGTTAATTTTGTATTTTGTTATTTATTAGATATACAATGACTGCTATATTAATATGTTTATTTTGTATTTTGTTATTTATTAGATATACAATGACGGCTATATTAATGTGTTAATTTTGTATTTTGTTATTTATTAGATATACAATGACTGCTATATTAATATGTTAATTTTGTATTTTGTTATTTATTAGATATACAATGACTGCTATATTAATATGTTAATTTTGTATTTTGTTATTTATTAGATATACAATGACTGCTATATTAATATGTTAATTTTGTATTTTGTTATTTATTAGATATACAATGACGGCTATATTAATATGTTAATTTTGTATTTTGTTATTTATTAGATATACAATAACTGCTATATTAATGTGTTAATTTTGTATTTTGTTATTTATTAGATATACAATAACTGCTATATTAATGTGTTAATTTTGTATTTTGTTATTTATTAGATATACAATAACTGCTATATTAATGTGTTAATTTTGTATTTTGTTATTTATTAGATATACAATAACTGCTATATTAATATGTTAATTTTGTATTTTGTTATTTATTAGATATACAATAACTGCTATATTAATGTGTTAATTTTGTATTTTGTTATTTATTAGATATACAATGACTGCTATATTAATGTGTTAATTTTGTATTTTGTTATTTATTAGATATACAATGACGGCTATATTAATATGTTAATTTTGTATTTTGTTATTTATTAGATATACAATAACTGCTATATTAATGTGTAAAATTTGTATTTTATTAGATATATAATGAATGTTATGCTAAATTTGCTGCTCAGTTAAACAAAAAAGTTGTCATATTAACTGGAGAAACTGGTACAGATTTAAAATTACTTGCTAAGGTGAGCATATACTTAATAATTTTCTTGTATTAAATGCTTAGATTCATACACTGAATAGAAATAGAATATTTTCTGTTATAAGAGTTTAATTAAATTTGGGTTTACTTTATTTGTACCTAGTATCTAACTTCTAAGGTATTAACAACTATATATGGTTTAAGAATTTGAACGAATTCCTGGTGAAGTAGCAGGATCTTTATGCCAAGCAAGTGTTCTGATAATTATATGTATTTATTCTAGGGTAATATTATTATATCAACACCAGAGAAATGGGATGTCTTGTCACGAAGATGGAAACAACGTAAAAATGTTCAAAATACCAATTTGTTCATTGTTGATGAATTACATTTGTTAGATGGACAAGCTGGGGTAAGTACATGGGAACTTAAGATCATCAAGTACATGGGATACTGTTTTAATGGAGGAAATCATTTCAGTCACCACATTCTTCTATTGATAAATGATTCAGAAGAATGTCTGAGCTGAATTAAAGATAATAGGAAACAATTTTTTGGAAGACATTCGTTGAATTTTTGAAATCTTCATAACCGCTGTGTTTATTTACATTAGAAATTACTTAAACTGGATACCTTAAATAAAATATATGTATATTAATAACTTTAGTATTATGAAGTTGAAATCAACGTGGCTAAAAGTAATAACTTGTTATAATATTTTTCAGCCTGTATTAGAAGTATTGTGTTCTAGAATGAGATATATATCATCTCAGTTAGAGAGAAATATTCGTATTGTAGCCCTGAGTTCATCTATATCTAATGCTAAAGACATAGCACAATGGTTATCATGTGGTACTACATCATTCTTTAATTTTCATCCTAATGTTAGACCAGTACCATTAGAACTACATATACAGGTATAGTTATTGTCTATTCTGATAACAATACACATCTTTACTAGAAACAAAGGTAGATTTGATGACTTTAGATCATCATTTGTTTTATCACTATTTTAAATGGTCCATATTGATAACATTAGTCTTTGTATAGTAAAAGATTGATTTTATTATCTTAAAATTTAAACAAGTGTTTTGATTGTTGGGATTATTAGAATTATAATTTGAATTCTCTCTAATTTCAGGGTCTGAATGTCTCTCACAATGCATCTCGTATTCTAGCTATGGCTAAACCAACTTATCAAGCTATAGTTCGTCATTCACCTAAACGACCAGTAGCTGTATTTGTTCCCTCTAGAAAACAGACCAGATTAACAGCTATAGATATATTAACATTTGCAGCAGCTGATATGCAGCCTGGGCCTGATGATAAACCTCAGAGTACATTCTTACATGTTGCTGAAAGTGATTTGGATCCTTTCTTAGATAAAATATCTGATAAGGTACTTAAATGGTGAATTTGATATTTTTCCAAATTTCCCTGTATATAAGTATTTTTTTAGGGGCAGCATAAGGAATTTTCAAATAATTTAAGTGATTATTTTGCAGTTGATAGGAAATTCTACCTCCTCAGAATCATTTATAAATCAACATAATGAAAATTATTTTGTTTCATAAGACTAACTAACTAGTCTTGAAATCTGCAATATAAAATTTGAATGAAATAAATTAATAATTCAATATCAATAGGGATTTGTATTAGTTGGTGGTGTTGGTTGACAGTATTATTTATTATTTTAGACATTAAAAGAAACATTAACTAATGGTGTAGGATATTTACATGAAGGATTAAGTGATAGAGAGAAGAAGGTTGTAGAACAGTTGTTTAATACTGGAGCTATACAAGTTGTTGTGGTATCTAGAAATCTAGCGTGGGGTGTCAATATAACATCTCATTTAGTTATTGTTATGGATACTCAATATTATGATGGCAAAACACACTCGTAAGTAATAAACCTTCAACTTGTTATCCTTGTAGCACGAAAGAGATTAAAAAGAGATTTTTTGTATGTCATATATAGCTTTTTGGAAACACTTTTACTAGGCTGTGATTTCACCGTTGCAAAAACTATTTAATTGCAGATCATTTGCTACTATGATGTCATAATCTGGTTAAGTTTAAATTAAGTTGAACAGAGACATCAGATGGTATTGATAAAGAGATTATGAGTCTCAATTTTCTTCAATGTATTCTTTGTTACTTTCAAACATAATAATATTATTATTATTAATATATTATAGATATGAAGACTACCCTGTAACTGATGTATTACAAATGATAGGAAAAGCTAATCGACCTTTACAAGATAAAGATGGTAATATTTCTATCATATCATTTTTTTTTAATACTTCATAGCGAGATCAATTTGTTGATAAATGAATGGGGTGTGATTAAATTGAATATCAAGATTCTTTTCTGTTCACATATTTTAAAAATGTTTATTTTTATATTTCAGCTAAGGCTGTTATTTTATGTCAAAGTTCTAAGAAAGAGTTCTTTAAGAAGTTTCTATATGAACCATTACCTATAGAGGTATGTATTAATTTACAGCATTATGTGCAGTGATCTGTTTTTATTTAGATTAAGTTTATGCCTCTTTTTGTTAAGAAATTAACATGACAAACACAGATTGAGTGGCATCAATTGTCTCAGCTGGATGAGCAAGACCAATGACGGAGGAACTAATATTAGACACAAAATTAATAGCATAAAGCTGTCTATGTTTTAACCTCATTACTTTGTTATCATTTTTTATTTTTATATTTTTCTTTTTAGAGTCATCTAGATCATTGCCTACACGATCATTTCTGTGCTGAAGTTGTAACCAAAACTATAGAAAATAAACAAGATGCTGTAGATTATTTAACCTGGACGTTTATATATCGTCGAATGACACAGAATCCTAACTATTATAATCTACAAGGTATGTAAATATACAAAAGAGACAAACACATGGAGTAGGCTGGTACACTGTCTCAACACAGCAACATTCAGTGATGCCTGAAATCATTGTCATCAACATCATGGATGTTTATACTGGACTGAACACATGTTAATTATGGAATCATGGTGACAAATACAATTAGTAAAAGAATTATCATTTATAATTTTAAATAATATATGTATATTATGATGTGATTATTATTATGATATTTTAGGTGTATCACATCGTCATCTCTCTGATCATTTATCAGAACTAGTAGAAAATACTATCAATGATTTAGAACAGTCTAAGGTTAGTAGAATATAATTATTATTACATATATTAAGTTAACTGTTTCACATGTTGGCATACCATCATCTAGTGGACTTCAAATCATACTATGGGCAACTTTTTCTCTTACTTGCTTTCATTTAATCATGATTGTAGTGGCACAGTAAGTTTTATTCCAACATAGGTCTAGATAGGTTTTTTTTTTAACTGCTTAAGGTGTATGGTTGTTGAGATAGGACAAGAAAAGAAGAACCCAACCGTGCATATTAAATACCCTTGAGAGTAGGAAATCAAAAAAGGAAGCTATAGTGAAATTTTCAGTCAAATCGAGAGAAGAAAAGTAGTATGTTAAACTTGATTAAAAAACATCTTTATTGTTATAGTGTATCAGTATTGAAGATGATATGGATGTAACACCATTAAATTTAGGAATGATTGCTGCTTACTATTATATCAACTATACTACTATTGGTAAGATACTTATATAGCTTATAATTCATGTGATATCAATTAAATTGAAGTCAGCACAATTTCAACATCTTACATCTTAATACAAATTTAAATAGTCAATTGTTTTTACATGTATTTTTGAAAATGTTTTCATTTAATTATAGAGTTATTCAGTATGTCTTTAAATAATAAGACTAAGATTAAAGGATTAATAGAGATTATAGCTAGTGCAGCTGAATATGAGAATATACCAATCAGACATGGTGAAAATAACATCCTTAAACAGGTTGGAATTTTGAATGTAATATTGTTGGAATGTTTGCAATAGTGACATATAACATATAAAATAAAAAAAAACATATAAAAAATAAAAGTGCCTGAATTAGAAGGAATTTTTTTTAGAGGGAGCAAAGATAAAGAAAAGTAACATACCAGTAAGTGATCTATAAGAAAGAAAAAAAAGGGGCAAATCATTTACATTATTTTTAATTTATTTCAGCTTGCAACCAGATTGCCTAATAAGCTAACCAACCCTAAATATAATGATCCACATATTAAAACCAACTTATTACTACAAGCACATCTGTCGAGAATGACTTTATCAGCTGAATTACAATCAGATACTGAGGACATACTGGGCAAGGTAGGTTCTATATATCTCATGATCATTTTAATTAGGATGTAAGTTATCAAATCCATTTCACAAATTAGAAAGTGAAATATATTTAAAGGGATTGTAAACAGGTTTTCTAAATTTTTCATGTTTATCGGTGATACTCACAGCATAAACCACAGAAAATTAGAATGGTGCAAATTGATGCTATCAGTTTCCAGATACACTTGACAAATTTAGAAAACCTCTTTATCATCTCTTTAAAAACCCTGTTTGTCTGCCCACAATTGAAGGTCGTAAAGTCAACTTTGTAATTTGATTTTGACAAATCTTTTGTTAAATCTGATGTATATTCCTTCTGTATGGACATATAGCATTTGAGTAATTGTTCTTTATAACTTGTATTTTTTGTAATTTAATAATTGTAGGCTATAAGGTTGATACAAGCTTGTGTAGATGTATTAAGTAGTAATGGATGGTTAAGTCCAGCATTAGCTGCTATGGAGTTAGCTCAGATGTGTACACAAGCTATGTGGGGCAAAGATTCCTATTTAAAACAATTACCACACTTTACTAGTGAAATAATTAAACGCTGTAAAGATAAGGTTAGAAAGATTACTTTGAATCAAATTACGTATTTTTCTTCTTGATCACCATTGTTTATAAAATCAAATGTGAATGGGAGTGTCAGCTTTTAAATAGTAATAATGATAGTCTTATATGGTTTATTGAAGGTGATTATTTACTAATGAAAGAATGATGACAGTAGATGTTGAGAGTGTATCAAATATAAACTTTTAGTTATATCACTTACTTCTATTTTTTCTCATTTGCAATAACAATCATAGCAGTATTTTTTCATTTGTTGCTTATTGCTTGTCCCATGTCTAAACATCCTTAATAATATTTCTAGGGACATGATACAATATTTGATATTATGGAGATGGAAGATGATGAGAGAAATGCTTTATTACAACTCAATGATAGTCAGATGGCTGATGTTGCTAGATTTTCTAACAGATATCCTAATATAGAATTAACTTATGAAGTACAGGATAAAGAACAAATCAGAAGGTACAATTTTTATTTATTTTTCAGTACTTCATCACCAGAATCTAGAACTGACTAGGAAAGCTGTGATAACTTAGTGAATTAAACATTAAGATTTTTGTATTATCACAGCATGGGTTTTTATCAAATTTTTCAATCTAACCTTCCTTTTACTTAGAAAACTGCTTGTGGTCAATTACATAGGCCAAAAATGAGGTTCAACAGGCTGTCCAAATGTATCAGTAGGTAATTTGAAAATAGTAGATTAGAATGAGTTTTTATCCTGACAACATTGGAAGATTTCTATCTAGTTTATGTGATAGTTATGTAGAGATATGATTATATTGTATTACAGTGGATCTGGTATTAATGTATCTGTTACATTAGAAAGAGAAGATGAAATAGTAGGTCCAGTAATAGCACCCTTCTTTCCACAGGTAAGTTATCTACAGTTCTTACTCTTACTTTATTATTCTCATAATCTTGTATCATCTAAACTCAATAGATCTTACCCATTGATTCAGTTTAGGTGTCAAGGTTTTTGTAGAAAGATTGATTTCATAATTATGATGTATTCCAATGAAAGTTTTTATTTGTGCATGGTCATTGTAGATTTGCAACCATTGTTGCTTAATTGAAATTGACAATTATTAGGCTTATAGTCACAGTATTTAATTTATATTTTAGAGTCGAGAAGAAGGCTGGTGGGTTGTTATTGGTGATACTAAAACTAATTCATTGTTATCTATCAAACGATTAACATTACAACAGAAAGCTAAAGTTAAACTAGATTTTGTAGCACCGAATGCAGGCCACTATAATTATACTATATACTTCATGAGTGATGCCTATATGGGATGTGATCAAGAATATAAATTCACTGTTAATGTTAAAGAAGGAGATAGTGACAGTGATGGTAGCGACAGTAATTAAGAACTCAGTGAATTTTTGATGTATGATTAAATCTGCGGTTACTTGAGGTATTATTAAATATTCATTGTGACTCACTTAAAGCTGGGTTCCCTTGTTTTTATTTATGAAAATGAAAATGCTAATACTTATATAAATAGAAAGTAGAGGTGTTCTAATGACTTGAAATAATACTAGTTTGTCTCACATGTCCATAATTAATTCATAATTAGCTAAATTAGAGGAGAATTAGCATCAGAATTCCGAAAGTATTTTTTTGCTTATCCAGACTGTACATGCATGAACATTTATGATTGGTTAAAACCCTTAATTATATGCAATAAAGATATGACTAAGAATACATGATATCTCACTAGAAACACCAATTAATCAAATTGTTTGCTTGATTTGCCATTTCAAAAATAAGGAAAACCATCTTTAATACATTATGAAAACTTCATAGTGTCTAACTTGTACAATATTGTTCATATCATGTTGTACTGCTTTGACATTGTTTTATAGAATTTTTCTTCACTCCATCATAGCAAACATTGATTTGTAAAAATAATACATATCTTATCAACCATAGAATTATTTTTCTGTTTAGTTATTATTGACTTATGATGACCAATGTTGCCTATTGTGCTATTTTTTTTAAAACCGATTTAATATATTCTGAGATCTTCTCCACCAGTTTTACATTACAAAATTGTCATAGAAATAGTTGATAAAGTTGAGATATATAATGGAAATGGTTGAAATCGAAACTTTACTTTGACTTAATGTTTTAGCTGTTATTCAATTCATAAAATCGTAAGACTATTATTCATAACACTATAAGAATAATAAGTGCTAAATTTTCATTATTCAGTGTTCATCTATAGTTTTCATTGATATCATTTATGTATATTAATTACTATCTTGAAAAATAAACTCATTTCATAGAATAATCATTTTCTTTTACACTATATATATGTGCAGCTTTAGTTCAAATTGTAGCTTACATCGTAGCTTTTCCAATAGTTTAAAGATGGGTTCCTTTATTTTCAATTATGAAAATGAAAATACAAATACTTATATGAATAGAAAGAAGATGTGAAAAATAGTTTGTCTTACATGTCCATAAATAATTCCTAATAAGCTAAATTAGAAGAGAATTACCAGCAGAATTCCAATGAATGATCGATCAAGAAAGGTTAAAAAGCCGTTTTTTTTATGTTTATCCAGACTGTACAGACACAGACATTTACGATTGATTAAAACTACTTATTATATGCAATAAGAACATAATGATAAGAATACATGATAGTTCATTAGAACACCAATTAATCAAATAGTTTTCTTAATTTGACACTAACAAAATAAAGAAAACCATCCATAAACTTGTTTCAGTTTCTCAAATTAAAGTGGATAATTTCTAATGTGAATCTTTGTGATCATAAAAGAATATAGAATACAGATTTGTAATTAAGGGGCTTTATTGGATACAAAAGATTTTTTAACCATTTCAAACAAACTATATCAGCTATTCAGATGCGATATTAGCCTTGACTATTTCTATTTGATGATAAACTAAAAGCAAGGCAATGATAGAAGAAAAATCTTATGTTCTTACGCAATTTATTCTCTGTGGGCTGCCCCCTATCCTGTTGAGTGTCAATTGCATTCGATGTATGCTTAGTAGAAGTCACAGGCGAATTGTTTCTATCTGTTGCCATAATTCTATGTATACGCACTTGGCTCAAACCGATGGCAACTATTCAAAATTTTGTATGTGTTCAGATGATGCTCTAAAAGTAATTTCTGAAAGAAAATCCGCCGAAAATTTTTCGGGCAAATCAGTCTGCCCTGTGTTTTCTTAGTTATCGCATAAGAATATAACTTAATAAGCGATTAATAACGATATAGCTACAAAACAAAATTGTGTATTTTTTTTTAGATTTATCCCCCTTTAATTAAGAAGAAAAGATCGAAACATCTCACATAGGTGACACAAAGTAGGATTCCATTATTCCAATCTAAGAGCGACACCAAGAACCATACAAACAGGCTTGATTTTCGAAATCCTGTCGTTGTGCACGTGGAAGATTTTACTAAAATATTCGCATTTCCCACACTAGAACTTAAAGGCCATGTTCGCCATTTTCGGGGGTTGATTCGAGCTTTGAATATATAAAATAAATAGTTCCAGAAGTACCAGAATTGTACAAAAATCGCATAATTCCTAATTACATCAAAATAAAAGTTTCACTTTCTTTTTTCCATATTATATGTCTTTTATACATATGGCATAGTCTCAAGAAAAGACGAGTTGTCATTTTAACTTTCAAAGGACGTACATTTTGAGCTGTGAATACTTATTGGCCAAAGTTTCCCGTATTTCTTACAGACTAAGATACGATTGATCAAACAAATGGCGAATCTGTCACTTTAAGGTATTTAACGCTCGAAACCCGTTAAGGCAGCGTAATTTGACTTCTCATCAGTCGAATCTTTTCACTGAACACAGTGTTGCACATTTTAATAAGCTCTTGGGTTTGAATGTTTTGTATCCAAACTATAGGCCATTATGTTCTGATACCCGATACCTAGATTACATTAGCTCTTGTCAATTCCATTATAAAGAGATGCATATTCCTCATTAAACTTTCAAATCTTTTAGTTCCAATTGTGCTGATTTCACAGAAGTCACAGAGTTTGTAAGTTCCATAAACGTATTATTTTTAAAATTCCATTGTTACTCTGATGTGTAGTTGCACCTTTATGATAAATGTTTTTGTTTTGTTTCACCTTCTGAATTTACGAGACATTGTAAAAGTGGAAATGTTTCCATTGAAGCTTTAAAAACCCTTATATTTCTCACCATTTCTGATGTAACTGCAATGGCAAAATTATGAAATGTAGGTTGAGAGTGATAAAGAGTGGTTAACAAGTGATGGATAGACTTATCTAATATAGATGTAATATGTCAGACAAGATAGAATACCTTTGAAATTAGCCATGCTTTGTTGTCACCTGCCACGTGTCATTGCTCGCACCTTTTCACCTTTGGCGTACGCCAACAACACTGTCGTGGCTGATTTCTTGACTAAACGTGAGGCATTATGTTTATTTTGTAGGTTTAGGTCCAATTTAACAGAATGTCAAAACATTAGTCGGATATACTTTCGTAGGATTTAATATTTTTTGTTTAGCCCATAAAGAAGAAAAAGATATAGAATAGAATAACAGGATGTGTAAAGAGTGGTACCAAGTGATTGAAAAACCAGGTCAATCATTATCCTGTTTCCAATCTAAAAAACAACATTCCTCACCGCATAGAACATCATCAAAGTACAGGGTTCACAAGAGTAAAAGTATAATCCACCAGCTTAGATTGCACAATACTTCAAACATATAAGAAATAATATAGGATATTATATAGAAATTGCATGATATAAAACAGTGAACGTGTACACAAACATAATTCTATTGCAGAGCGAAATATTATTCCAACAATGAAAATGCAAGGAAGCGGTTTACCATAGAAAATAACAAAATATTTCATGTTTATTTAAGATTTTCCAATGTTGTTACTCTAACGTTGTGGCGTCAAATTCGATTTCGAGTTAAAATCCAGCTTATAATGTTGCTGTTAGGTGCATTTAAACACTGTCTTATCCTATTTGTTAGTTATTTTAAGAAAAGCTAGAGGTGTCACTAAGACCTATAATACGATGCTAATCTTCGACTTTCTTGAAATATTTCAAAAATTTCAAAATTTTGAAAGATTTATTCAATACAAGCTATCAAATTAAAACAATCAAATGAAGCTAGTTCATTTGAGAAGATATTCCTTTTTTTCTTTTCTGTAGAAACTAAATTGAAACAGGACAGTATGAAACACTCACAACACTTATAATTCATGGAATCAATGCTTGAAATATAAAAATAGCTAGAATTATTTATTTTGTCAAAATACCGAATATCAGGCCCCCCCCCCCCGGAAAAATAAGGTTATGGCTTTCAGGGCTGCGTTATGCGAAATGCTTCAACAAAATACTATATATTTGATATTGGATATTGGATTGTAATCTGTCCCGTCTCAAAATTCAAAAGATTTGATTGGTTGATTATAAATACTAATATAACTAAAAGACATATATTATCCTAAATTGTATTCATATGAATCAAACAACCCAAAGTAGGAAAAATTGATAAATATTTGATCAAAAAAGACAAATTGCTTGATGGTTCCGACACCACTCACCACAACGACGATCTATGACTCAGCTTCGCCAGCGCAATCTTGTTCTTCTTGCCTTGAACAGAAAGCGTACTCAGAAAATTAACTTGGACGTATTTGTTCAACGTTTTGCTATAAAACATACGCGACTACGTTTAAACTAAAACGGCAATAAAATGTAACGTATTATAACTTGTGCAAAAATAATCTCTAATCTAAAATACTCCGTGAAAGTCCGTTTCCCGACGTTTAATCGTCTGTCAAGGTGCTTTGCTAAATTGCTCCCCTCGATTGCACGTTTGACCCCCCCTCCCCAGGAGTACTGGTCAGGCTACGGGTCTGCCAAATATCATAAATAGAGCTAGCATCTTGATATATCTAAATAGTCCTCACAACAAACTATTATAAAATAGAGCTAGTATCATACCCTAGCCAGCACCTTACTTATATGTATATAGTTTTCACAGTAAATTTTATTACATAGAGCTAGTGTATTCCTCTATTTATGTCTGTGCAGTCCTCAACATTTATAAAGTAAATCTAACACCTATAACTTATATATGTTAATAGTCCTTACAACAAATTTTAAAAAAAGACCTGTACCTTACTTATGTATTATGTAAATAGTCCTCACAACAAATATTGTAAAATACTGCCAGTATCTTACTCATCCTCATAGCAAGTTTTATAAAACAGAGCTAGCATCTCAAGTGTAAGTAGTCCTCACAACAAATTTTATAAAATATAGCTACATCTTACTGATATAGGTAAGTAGTCCTCACAGCAAATTTAAAGAAAGGGTCAAGAGATTTGACAACACTGCCTTAAATGAATAGTCCCTATTGCGTTTAGAAATACTGAAAATTTGATAATCGTGCTCCGAAGCGTTACCGAGATATTGCCGATAAAAGACGGATATCCCAAATGATATACCTTGCTGATTGGATTTCCAGTGATTATGTCCTACTTTTAAACATAACTTTATTTGATTTAGAGTCTACGGATTATATAAAAGTAAGCTAGTTTTGGTTTTATAATTTACTAAAAAGAACATTGTAGCTTTAAGCTTGTCCATGCATTCTGTTGCGGAAATGGTAACGGTGGCAAACGTAGTCATGAAAATACGATTTGTATATCACAGTATTGTATAACGGACAAAGCTGCTTAAAAGGTTACAAACGTATATGTAAAAACAACAATAAAATGGAAGGGTAAATGGAATCGGTAAAGAAGGGAAATGATATATCAATTCATATGGTTCTAGTTTAGAATGTCATGACCTCAAGTTTTTATGTAAATAGAAGTATAATTTCCAATCTAAACCCAGAAATTGGTGAAAACATATGGCACTGAACTGTAAACATTTGTAACCCTAGTAATAGACTCCAGGTTTTATGCTTAAACATATTTAACAGGGTTAAAAACATTGAGGACATTATTTAATAGAGAAATATTCCAAATGTATATAACAGGTTACCGGGTTCATTTTACTAGTGTTTAGTTGGTTCCCTGAAAACTTTCTTGAAAACAAGGGCATGGGGCAAAACAGACTTTTTGGGTTTTAAATGCTTTAGCCTTAGTTTCAATTTTTCTATAAAAGACATCCTGTTTGAAGGGCAATATGGTTCTGTTAATGAAAGCCTATGTGTGTGCAAATAATACCCCTCGCCCCCTTAAATTCAAACGGAACGAGATTAACAATATATTTGTTTTATTTGATGTTTTCTGAAAAAGATGATCAAGAATGAATATGCATGTGTCTGCAGCCAATTTTCTGCAGTTTGTCAAGTGTAAATGTTTTCAGTAAGAGCTCAGTTACGTCAGTTCGTTTTAGAGAGAGAACATATTGAGAAAAAGAAAATGATTTGTAATGTAATTGGTAGTGGTCACAATTTAAGTTTTCCTTTCACAAATTGATACAGATGATAGTGCCTTTTTGTGTAGTAAATGAAAAACAAGATTCCTTTAATATTGGAGTAGAATGCTGGAGGAGACATAGTCTACAATTGTAAAAAATGTAGAAAATGATATATAAACACTTCTAGTATATCATTTTGGAATTTATCCACAGGGGTTCTGGCACGAATTTGAACAATCCGACCTTCTAGATATGTTTGATATAAAACATTTGTTAACTAGCGGGATGCGCCATTCCACAGTTGGATCTAAACAGGGGTCCTCACGGAACCTTTACTTTGTATATTCTGGTAGAAAAGTATGAAAAATCATATCTACTTGACGT